TAATACTTCATTTTGATTCAGCATTTGGTGATGCAGAAACAGATTTTTTTCTTAGTAGATCTGCATGAAAATACATTTTATAAATATTATGGGTATAAAATGTACATTTGTTTTTGTGTATTTTATTCTTGAGTAATATTTTAAAAGAATTTCTGTGAAGACCCAATGTCAGTTATATCTGTGAATTTAATGTTTATTACCATTCTAAATATGTTTATATATGCAAGTAATTATTTATGTGAGGTCTATTAATGAACACTGAAATGCAACAACTTCTGGTCACTTGCATATGATATCATATCCTTGACAATGATGATTAAAAGATTAATTATCAAATTACTCTATATTAAAGAAGGCTTTACCAAACAAGTAATTTCTATGTGTTTGTAAGTAGCAATATTACAAGCTAATAAAAATTGAAATAAATTAATAAATAATAAAAACAAAATCAGAACTTTATTTCATTTTGTATTTAGAGACTGAGTAAAAAAGTAAAATCTTTTCCTGAACAAATTAATGTCAGAATTGCATTTTATCTTTGAAGAACTAAATTCTCTGCAGTGGTTTTTCATTCTAACTATATTTTGAGATTTGGTCTGACAGTGGTTGCAAACCTGTAATGTGTTTTGTTGTGTGCTGTCTCATTTTAGAAAAGGGGTTATATTGTAAAAAATATTTATGAAATGTAGTAGTTTGAACTTTCTGTTTTTTAAAATCATTTAGAACTTAATATTACTTAGGAGATATAAAGTTTGGCATAGAACATCGATATCCATACAGTCCCCTTGAATTGTCATGTCTGTAAAGTAAATTTTATATTTTTCTAGAATAAATAAAAACTTTAAACTCTTATTATTACATGAAAGCACCAGTCCTTCATTTGATGAAAGCTTAATAGTATGATAAACATGATAAAGGAAATGAGATACCTTGTTTTTCTGAGTATAGAAATATAAAAAAAATGCACTTTTAGTCTCTAACAGAAATGTCAAGTTACTTTATAGAACATGTGTACATATATATGCAATAAAAGTTATGGTCAATGCCAAAAGTATCAAGATATATTCTGGGTGTGACAGCTACTAAGTATTTGTCAACTTAAAACCCAATCCCCAATCATGTATATCAAATAACTAAATATTGCAAAACATGATATACACATGATAAAATTTAACTGCCAATATACTGTAAACTGAAAATAGCTTTTCCACTAATAATATGTAATTATAGGGGATAGTAATGGATGTACATGTACTTAAATTGAAAAAAAAAAAAATCACAACATAAAACAGAGCCATGCCATGATGGGATGTGAAAAAAAAGTATATAATGAGTATAAAAGCTTTTTTAAGTATAATTTGTACCATCAGAAATGTATGATATAAAACCATCTCTGGTAACATATACTGAAATATGTGTAATAATGAAGAATGTTGACCTAAAATATAAATCCTCATCAAAAGGTACATGCAGCTTAACAGTTGTAAAAATAGTATGAACTAAAATTCATAAATAGAGATTAATTTAGGTAAACTGGATGCAGATTGAACAATCATCTATGGAACAACTAATGGATGACTGCTAGACGATCAATAGGGAATAAGCACAAACAATATTATATTATGATGTGATGTCATCTTCATTCATTTGAAACTACATCTGAAAGCTACAAAATAAGGATCTGACTCTGTTCAAACTGTTTTTCCTTTGTTATTATCTATGATATATCAGATCTTAGGATGTTTACACTGAAGTAATGTCATTCAGGACAAAACCTGACAAGTGTCACAATAATTTACACCTGGACTTCCAAAAGAAATAATGCACTGCTTAAGCATGTTAAGGGATGTTATTGGGAGGTTTATATACATTTTCTTATATGTATAATGTGCTGAATTCATATTATCTGTGTGATTTATAAGAAAGTAAAACAAATTTTGTTCATTTTATGTATTTTTGTGTACTGGAAAGACATCATTGGGCATGAAAAAGGGAAATAAATCACAAAAATTTTTCTTAGTGGCAAGTTTGTCATATTTCTGAGAGCAGAAAAGTTTCAAGAAAAAATAACAGGGAGTCCCCGCAGGGCCTTACAAATTTGTGATGACATTGTGCTCGTGCGTAAATAACGAAGGGTAACGTCATGTGACTATCCCAGTTCTGTTCTCCATGTTCCAGTTTATCAATATAAACTTCTCATATTTATTTTTCCTAGGTAAAACGAGCGTGTGTCAATTTGTCTCGAGTTGAATATTTGTCAATGACAGTCGATGTTAAAAAATGGCGGTTCCGAAGACTGAAAATAAATGACTTGAATTTCTGATTCAAAAATACATTTCTTTGACTTCTTATATCTTTTAAATAACTGTAAAACTGATCATATCATGCATACCGCTCGTGATACATTTAGTTTCTTATAATTTAACAAATTCACGATTTTCTACCGGGTCGTCTTCCGCGGGGAACTTTTTTTCTAAGCAGCGACATCTGTTGACGACGTTCTTAGAAATTATCTCCACTTGACTCTCGAATAATAAATGCGGGTTTTTAACGGACAAATCAGGGAGGATTTGCTGTCCGGCTGCATGCCACTCTAAATAATATGAAAAACAAAACCAGACAATAACATGGATAAAAAACGCGAAAAGACTATCATTAGTCAAGACATCTCTACACAAAAATCTGTAAATTGAGAAATATGGCAAGGAGAAGTGGAACACCGAAAAGCAAGCTATAAAGAGTCCCACAAATGACTACTGTAAAACCATTCAAACGGGAAAACCAACGGTCTAATCTATATAAAAAACGAGAAACACTTATGAACCACAACAACAAACGATAGCTATTGTTACAAACATACATAAAAGATAAAAAAGTTTAAAAAAAGGGTACAGCAGTCAACATTGTGCTAGTATCTTAATCACTATAAAACAAGAATCAAATATGTAAACAAACATTTACCATGGCACAATAACACAATGCAAAAGTACAGACCTACGTCATATGTAACAAAGAAACACAAAAAGGCATATAGACAAAGCATATTAGCAAATATGAGAGATAAGAATAGAAAAAATTATCATAGAACAATAACACAATGACGGGATGTATAAGTACAGAGCCAAGTCATATGTAACAAAGAAACACAAAAAGGCATATAGACAAAGCATAATAGCAAAAAAGAAGACAAGAATACGAAAATTATCATAGAACAATAACACAATGACGGGATGTATAAGTACAGATCCACGTCAAATGGATACCACAAAAACAGACTAAACAGTTAAAGTAATATTCATAAAAACGAAATAAAAGAATATTACAACACGTTATTAAGATGATAAACAACGTCAGTATCCAGAATCTATACTTCAAGACCATCGTGTATTATTTGTGAAGTTGATACGGAATATTTATCACCAAGGTTTTGGAACATACCGATGATCTTTAAAAAAAGGACGAGACGTTCTTTGACATATCCCTGGTTCATCAACTTTCTGCTACGACACTGGTGACGTTTTCCAAAGTCTGAGTAGTTGCTGCATGCTCTTGAATACCGAATAAGTTGTGAAATGTATATCCCATCTGCAGGTGAAGTTGGTACATGGCTACTTATATGTGACTAAGGTGGGGGAGGGATGTAACTTCAGTTGAATATGTCTATTTCAATTTAGCAAAACATCCCCTCGCTTATTTCTCCCATCAAATGTGTAAGTATTTATACAAACAAAGTAAAATCACAAAAATACTGAACTCCGATAAAAATTCAAAAAGGAAAGTCCCTAATCAAATGGCAAAATCAAAAGCTCAAACACATATAACGAATGGATAACAACTGTCATATTCCTGACTTGGTACAGGCATTTTCTGATATAGAAAATGGTGGATTAAACCTGGTTTTAAAGCTATCTAAACCTCTCACTTGTATGACATTCGCACAAATTCCATTTTACATGTACATTATACATCAATGGCTATCACAGTCTTAGATAAGATGTGAATCAAGAAAATAGCACAATATCAATAAAATGGAATTTTCATTTTACGATCCATAAACATGATAAACATATAATTGGAAAATGCAATTATTTTTATGAGTGACATGTCATACATTTGGAAAAATTTGAGAGCAGTTGCTTTCGAAATGAGTAACATAACGATAGAAATGAAAATGTCAGTGGAAATGACCAAAATATTATTTTTTTCTGTCAAATTGCATTTATGTAGGACCTAATATCATTGACCTTTTAGATGTTTTTTTTTCCTCTTAAACGGACCTAATTACAAACTTTTCCATGACCGAGGTGATAGGGCATACTAATCTGTATCGAAATGAGATGTACAAATGCTTATAAATCTGCTAACCAAATATCACAAACTTCAACAAATTAATGAAGCCGACGCCGGAAGCAGCACACCTAAGTCTTTCTATTTGACGGAAACCATATGCTGAGTAGATTCTCCTCAAGAATCTTAACAATGCAATATAATTCAATGTATTTCTTATATTCGTAAACAAATGATAAGCGTTGGACTACACAGTCGTGTTCTATGAAAATGAATACAATATATATTGGATCATGCAAACACAACTGTAATTTGAATTGTCTTCTCCCGACAAAATCTAGTCTCTCTTTTATTGATTTAACAATTAAACTATCTTTGAACCATAATTTAAATATTCTTGATTGAACAACCAATTTCCATTTTTTTTTAGTTGATGGCATGCTATTTAGTGCCAATGACGGGGACATGATCTTGTTCATTCTTCATGTGGATTTACATTCCATGGCGCATGGTTGTATAAACAACATCTTCATTAAATGTAGCTAGTAACGTATGAACACAATTTTAATTGGGAGTTTCTACTTTCTATTGAAAAAATCTCAACAATAGTTTCTGTTTAACTCATTTCACAATCAAACCAGATTGGAACCACGATTTAAATATTCATAGTTAAACAACCTATTCTAACATAAAAAATGTGGATCTATTTTTAGGTGACAGTTTAAGCTTCCATAACGGCATGCCATTCAGTACCAAAGACCGAGACAATGATCCTTCTTCCGATATGTGTGCAGTTACTTACTCTGGCGCCTGGTGGTATAATGACTGTCATCATTCTAATTTAAATGGCAAATATTTATCCGGATCTCATATCTCTCTGGCAGATGGAATTGAATGGTTTACATGGACAGGACACCACTATTCATTAAAGTCGTCGAAAATGATGATTAGGAGACAATGATTGGTAACAATTGGTAGGTATTTAACATCTTTTGAAAGATTTATCTAGTTGGGATCGAGTATAATTGCATAGAATCATTTCATAACGTATTTTCCGACTCATGAATTGCAAAAATTGAAAACAACATGCCATTTAAAGTTTTATTCAATCTATTGGCAATAGAATAGGAAAATATATCTGATCTTTTTATTTATAACATATCTTTGGATTTCACTGAATGTCAATCAAATGTAGAAATTCAAGTATAAGTTTTGTTATTTTTTCTTGATTTAATTATGGCTTGTCCTAATACATGTAATAGTTTTGAATTTATTTTGCAGGTAAGAGACTCGTTTCAGTAGGTATTCTTCACATGATTCGAGGTGACTGTTCGAGTTCAAAGTTGGTGTTGTTTCTTCCATGCTTGCAATGATTATTTAGTGTTTGCTTGATACTACATCTTGCATGTTTATTTGAAGTTATATTGCTTAAGACGCAACGTCAGATATTGCTACCATTTATTGTAATAAAAAATGACGTTAAAGAGAAAACGCGTACTATCTAGTTTTTCCTGTTTTCCTTGTTGGGTAAATGCAAAGAATTACACAAAAGTATAAGTGCCGTGTGATTCCAATCCAATATGATTTTATAATTAACAAAGGATATTAGATTTTTCTGTCAGTAATTTTGTGGTGTTTGGGAAATATTTTTGTATTATATTCAAACCACATCGAATATAATGTTAATCAAGCGTTTGTACAAGAGACAATATATATAGTTATGATACTGAAGTTTTCTTACTTTTATTTTGATGGTCTTAAAGGTGTGCATTCTTTGTACTATATTCTGTTTTGTTAAATAAAGGACATTTACAGTAAGCAGAGGAAGGAACCCGTGAATGCAGTTCATGCTGTCCCCGGTATATTACGGTTGTGGCGGCGTCAAATAATGTTAACGGACAACGTTGCAAGACATTTTCCTTGATCCGTATTTTTTATAGATAACCTGTAATCTTAATACAATTTGGTGTTCCAATTTCAACCTTTAAAGTACTTTTTATTGGTATAGTATTCAAAGCCCAAAAATAATCTTCACGAAATTAACTGAGTCTGGCCTTAAAAGTTTTGTGAAGGCATGAAATATTACTTCGGACATATCCGCAAGACATTGCAACCCTATTGGTTTGAATTGAACGTGTAGCTCAATTTATTTGATAATTTGAGTTTTTAGAGCTTGCACTTGTACAAAACGGTCGTGCTTTCAATTTAGTAAAATATCTGTCAAAATTTTAATTTTTTAACTGAAATATTCCAAGCTTCCAAACTAAAGTTCCCCTGGGACATTTCATTTCATCATATTCCTTTGAAAATAGTTATGCAAAATTTAGACGGAGGCAGCCATGTAAACCATTACTGAAATATATCACGTCATAGAAAAGAGGGACGAAAGATACCAGAGGGACAGTCAAACTCATAGATCGAAAACAAACTGACAACGCCATGGCCAAAAATAAAAAGACAAACAGACAAATAATAGTACAGATGACACAACATAGAAAACCAAAGACTAAGCAACACGAACCCCACCAAAAACTGGGGGTGATCTCAGGTGCTCCGGAAGGGTAAGCAGATCCTGCTCCAAATGTGGCACCCGTCGTGTTACTTATGTTATTACAAATCCGGTAAATAGTCTAATTAGAACATTCATGAAAAATTTCGAAGAGTTGCGTGAACATTTCGCGAATTTTTCGAGTTTAATGTTTCGAGTTTGTTACATGGGACAACGCTTAGTAAACGTTTTTTTCTAATAATCTGTGTCTTCCGATGTCTATATACATTATATTTTTTATTCTTTCTCTATCATAATGTGAAAATGTGAGATACAATCTTTATTTTTCATATATTATAGGACATGTTTATTTTAGCATTTCTAAGAAAATTTTCCCGTCAAATATTTACTTAGCGCTATTTTTCGTGGTAGTAACAATATCTTACGTTGCGTCTTAAGACTTTTCATCTGTTTAGTTAAATCATTGTTCAGTACATTTGTTTTCTATATTTGGCGACTAGTTTAAATCGGTATATGCTCTGTTTAGCTTACATTTTACTACTAGTATATACTTATTTTTAATGGGTTGTCCCTTTTTTGCTGAATTTGCTGATTACATAATTTTGACATGACTACTAATTATTTTTTGCGATCATGTTCTGTGAAATATTTGTGCTTGCATGTTGTTTTTAATATATCATGAATACGTTGTGTCGTGATAAAATTGAGTTACGTGGAATTCGTATTTGAGAAACCTGATTTTTGGGATTTGTTTATTTTTTGTTATTGGATTCGCGGCACATTTGAACTTTATTGTTGAAAACATTACTTATTCACCAACCCTACCGCAACTAACAACTTTATTAATTAACATCAATCTAATGCATGTATTAATAAAGTAGTGTTTACCTAAGTGTGGCTAGTTTAAGTGTTAATTAAATATGTTTGGCTTTATTATAGATCTATGTCGGATGTCTTGTCGCTTATTTGCATATTAACATAATTAGACATTTATGCTAGTCAAAATATTCATCCTGTACAATGAATACAAAATATACATTTCCTTGAACGCTTGTGTATATTAACTATATAGTATGATGCAATACCATTGAGCTACTTTGAATTCGTTTGTGAGAAGCCATGGAATTAAAGTTTAAATGAGGGACAATGGAAAGGTATGCACTTGTTTGAATATCAATATTTGCTCTGGGTGGTTCCATTTGTTTTTAAACAAGACAACGATTTCCATTGTATATTCCTCCTTCAAATCTGTATATAAAAAAAGGAAATACTTAATAGTAACATTACTATATCAGAGGTTGTTAGATATACAAAGATGTGGCATGAGTGCCAATGAGACAATTTTCCATCCAAGTTACGATTAGTAAAACCATTATAGGTCAAAGCCATTCAAAAAAGCCATCATTGTATGAATGCTTAACACCAAGAGGCATAATATTATATGCATACATAGAAAACTTAAACGGCATGTGTATACCTTTTACTAGAAAGTAAAATCACAAAAATACTGAACTCCGAGGAAATTCAAACGGAAAATCCCTAATCAAATGGCAAAATTAAAAGCTCAAACACAACAAACGAATGGATAACAACTGTCATATTCCTGACTTGGTACTGGCATTTTCTTATGTAGGACATGGTGGATTAAACCTGGTTTTAAACCTATATTAACCTCTCACTTGTATGACAGTCGCATTAAATTCCATTATATTGACAACGATGTGTGAAAAAAACAGAAATAACAGGTGAAAATGTCAAAAATAGGAGTACAGCAGTCAAGATTGTGTTATAATCTTTATCACTATTAAAACAAACAAATATGTAACAAAGAAGCACAAATATTCTTATTAGAACCCACTGTTATTGTAAGATAGTATGAATAAGAGTATGAACAATCAGTTAAAAAAATTTAGTGGTAATTAGAAGAAATTAAATAAAAAACTTATATGTACGCCGAGGGAAAGAAAAACAAAATTCTATGCTCCTAAACAACTTCTATTTCACGTACGGACTTAACTGTCAACAGGATCAAAATTTACTCTGAACAGCAAAGACAAGACAAGAAGTCCAAGTAATCATATGGTCCGGAACATATACAGTATAAACATGTTAAATTAAAAAAAAACATCTATCATTTTGCCCTTAACAAAACACATGACCTTGTACTGCTTGCAATCTTTTTACTCCGACATATTAAGAAAGGAAGTTTTGCAATGTTCGTTTTTATTTCGAATCTACAGTTTTACCAGATAGCTATACATCACAATGACACGTCGTGGACCGTTCGTAAATAGAGCTGTACATTATTTATCTACCGAATTTTTACCGGGTTTATAATAACATGAGCAATGCGACGGGTGCCACATGTGGAGCAGGATATGTTTCTCCTTTCGGAGCACCTGAGATCACCCCCAATTTTGTTGGGTTTCGTGTTGATGAGTCTTTATTTTTCTATGTTGTGTTTTGTGTACTGTTTGTCTTTTTCTTTGTAACCATTACGTTGTCAGTTTATTTTTGATCTATGAGTTTGAATATTTCTCCGGTATCTTTCGCCCCTCTTTTATCCCGTTTTGTTTTAGTAGGTATCCAATTTTTTAATTATATAAACAAATTGAAGATGTATAGTGAAATGATATTATACATCTTTGTTTAAACTAAAAATGTTAAACAGAGCTGCGGTTCAACCGTTATTAAAACTCTGAAAATAAATGAAATTTATCATAAATTATTCTTTCACTATTACACTGTATTATGAATACTGTACTCAATAATTGTATCAGTCGGGTTAAAAACAAAACGAGATGACTCAGGGCATTTGCTCATTTTTAATCAAGTAAAAAGAACAATTTAGACCACTTCCAATGGAATACGTGTTCATCGATCCTTTATTTACAGAAATTAGAGCGAGTGAGCAAATTTTTCATGTTTTATTCCTCCTAAACAAATAATTAATAATATATACCTAAAATTTGGTGAGAAGTCATTTTTGTTTAATGTTGGTTTATAAAGCTTCTATATTCAGGAGCGATAACATTTTTTGTCACCAATTAAATTTCAATGTGATAATCAAATAGCAACTATCTGTGAATTTTAGGGCAAGTGGTGACATGTCATTCCCATATGATTTTGATGCTTACAGAGAATGACTCTTAAAAGCGAGCAATAATTCATAGATTTTTTAGAAAATATTTTTTTATGTTTTCCAAATTTTCAATGCTGCTATAATATGCATAGTATCATAGAGTCCTATTTTTAGTCTCTCAGTTCACGTAAAAACGTATGAAGAAGAGGGAAACAATAAACCAGAATTCATCTGCTTGATTAAAATTCGAGGTTTCTGTCATCATTATGAGATTCTATGCTATATTTTTTCAGCCCCATAGAACATATTTTGGAACTGAAAATGGAAAATGCTACTTCACAATCTGCGTTTTTGAATCAATTTTTTTTTACATTTTATGAAAGATTGTCCTATTGTTTTATCCAAGACTGACTTAAAGTTACTCATTTATAACACATACAATCTAGAAAAGAATTCTCATAATGTTAGGGCCATATTTTTCTAGACGCTAAATAGTTATCAAAGGTACCAGGCTTCTACTTTGATACACCAGACGCGCGTTTCGTCTACACAAGACTCGTCGGTGACGCTCAGATATAAAAAAGTTAGAAAGCCAAACAAGTTCAAAGTTGAAGAGCATTGGGATAAAAAATTCCAAAATATTAAGGGGGATAAGGCAAGACAAATACCATTTGTCAACGTTACTTACTTCATATTTGCTTTCATTTTATTGTTTAAAGGTTGACGATGAATTAGTATATGACACAGTAAGGATAACAATTGTATTACTATAAATACCAAATTCCAAAAAAATATTCAAAACTGAAAGAACTTCATCACAAGCTCAAACGTATCAAACGAATGGCAAATAACTTTCATATTTATGATTTAGCACAGATCTATAGTGTCTGTTTCATTTGTTCACACATCGTTGTCAATATAAGAAATTTTTTGCGACTGTCAAACAAGTGAGAGGTTTAGCAAGCTATAAAACCAAGTTTAATCCACCATTTTCTACAAAAGAAAATGCCTTACCAAGTCAGGTATATGTTCGTTTGATGTGTTTGAGCTTTTGATTTTGCAATTTGATTAGGGACTTTCCTTTTTGAATTTTCCTTGGAGTTCAGTATTTTTATGATTTTACTTTTTACTGTCTTTTTTTTACTTATACATAGAACACTCTGCGACATTCCTTATGAATGACCTTCAATCTGTGCATCTGTGACTCTTGACCCTTTTCACGAATGTGACCTACCAAATTAGACTATTTACCGGATTTGTAATAACATAAGCAACACGACGGGTGCCACATGTGGAACATGATATACTTTTCCTTCCGGAGCACCTGAGATCACCCCCAGTTTTTGGTGGGGATTGTGTTGCACAGTCTTTAGTTTTCTATATTGTGTCTTGTGTACTATCATTTGTTTGTTTGTCTTTTTTTGCCATAGCGTTGTTTTCGATCTATGAGTTTGACTGTTTCTTTTGTATCTTTCGCCCCTCCTTGTTAGATATTTGTACATTTTTTATTTCTATACACTGGATATGAGATAGCAATGAACTACAAATGTTTTGCTCTTAAGTAGGATAATAGCAGAAAAAAATATAGTTATTTCAAACTAAATGTCACGCTTCAGTGACCCTTGGTTTTGACCTATCCCGATCTATTCAAGATAATTGACATACACTCCCCTAGCTTATTTAACTGAGATTCTACATTTTTGAATTACACATAAGAATTTGTCTAATGCATTAATAGTTGCATTATTATAATAATGAGATTGTACGTCAAATAATGACAGTCTTTCAAATATAACTTTCGAAATTTTTGTTTGTAATTTGTGAATGTTCCCACACATCTGTGGCCTTCAACATGCAGATGTATCATGTTGGACAACCATTTGAAAATCATGCTCAGACCAAATTTAAAAACTTTCGTGGCCTTTCAATTGAAGTTGACCATTTGCTCTCTTGTGTAGGCCTATATATTATGAGATAATTAGTATTGCCTTCGGTATTGTCGAGTGCATGAATTTTGTATCGTGAACTTATACGCCATATCGCTTCTTTTCAATACTATGTCCCCACAATGGCGACGAGGTAATAAATATAGGGTCATAACAGGTCTTCTTCTGTCCGGCAGTAAAACCCATGCCAAAGTCGGGCGTTTGTTCGGCGGGATGTACAAGTATGCAGCAACGTCAGGTTAGAATGAAGACATTAAATTCAATGACTCGTGTAAAGAGAGTACCACATTTTCTACAAGTTAAATACCCATTCAACAACTCTTTGAGGGATTCGTGGGTGGCCTGTTGCAAGATAAATCTTCTGTCCTTATCCAATATACTATGGCAGTCTATATTTCTCTAACCTTCATCTTTATATTAACATACCTACCTATTGTAGTTGGTGCTCGTCCTGAACATGCATGGAATATTTGCCACTGAACGTTGAGCAACCAACAATAAGTCAATCAATCAATCAAACAATTAACACTAACTATCGGGGCAATCCTTGATACAAAAAGGATTATATTGAAATAACATCAGGTCAACTATTGGGCTAAATATTGGGACCATTCAATAAAACAATACTAGATTCAAAGTACCGAGTTAGAAGTACTGAAGTTATCTGAATTGTACAATACATCGGATTGAATTGTAGGTGAATAAACTAGTTTTAACACATTCATATGGTTTGCGTTTGAAATGTATCCGATGATGTCACTTTGTTTGTTCTTACGTTGAGTTGTTTTACAGATTGATGTCATTTAAGTCATAAACATTAAAAGATGATATACACGTAGCCTTAGTCTTCTTATGTTGACTGGTTAGTCTTGTTTTGTATGTAAGCTTGTCTGGTATATAGTATATTTAATGATGAGTTTGAATATCCCTTTGGTATCTTTTGCTTTTTTTTTGTTGATAATACTTGCAAAGGATTACATAAATTACATATAATATTGCACAAAAGTACAATAGATAACACGAACTAACAACAATCAAAAACTACAACGGATTGTGCGGATAGATGACTCGGGACAGGCACAATATGAGGTAGGATTGAACCATTTTGATGTTACGCAAAAATTACAATAAACGCGAAATGTTATTACGGAAGTTTGAGAGTTAATAATTTTTCATCAAGTTCGATAAACTTGGCACATTTCAACATTATATATGTTCTAAGACTACTATATGTGTAAATAAGATAAAAAATCTGACATTGACTTCAATGCTTATCTGTGTCTTGAATCAATTTATACCTAGTCCTACGCCGGCAAATGCGGACATTTTTTTGAAACCATGCGAAATCGGATCTCTTTTTTCAATATTAGCTGTTTTAACTCGAGACCTCCCTTATGTACAATGACCTTTATGTTAGTTTAAAACAAACAGTGAACACCGCCCCTCCCCCCTCCCCCCCCCCCCCACCCCCATGTTAAACTGTTAAATCTCGTCCGTTTTTCTGTATTTTTACACCTATCGATATCTTTCTAATGGTAGAAGTTGTATATGATATAGTGCCAGATTGGAATTGATTAATACGAGATTATAAACAGGTGTTCTCTATTTACCAGACTCGTTAAAATATATCCTTTCAACCTAGGTATTAGATTTAGTATAATTGTTACCACTGGGACAATAATTAGGCAAAAAGTATGTCTAAGGTATAGAGCTTTGCATGTTATTAATTAAATAAATCCAAAATAATTGTTCTTATTCCTTTCAATATCACTGTCATGTTTGAAGTAAAGTTTAAGTAAATTGAAAGTCATATTGTCCGATATTTAAAACTGCCATTTTGCTAAAATATTCGAAATAGCTCTCGATGCGATATAGCCTTTTTCGTGTTTTTGTCCTAATGCGTCATAAAAGACATAAACAATCACAAAACAATCGAACGACGCAAGTTTGAATACTAAGTTTGCTGTTGTAAATTTTAATGTCTCAATTCAAATATACATGAATTTCAAAATTATGAAATGTTCCACACGTTTTAATAAAAGCATCAATTGAGTTTTCAATTGGTTAATGTATACATAGAAAAATCATATATCACTAAAAGTTAATGCCTGACATATTTTAAAGGAGCTAAATCTTTCAGACATGAAGTATTTGCTACTGTATGTACAATAACTTACAGGCTTCAAAAAACCTTTTTATTTTAATGCAGAATGACAAAACCTCATTTGGATCTTGTCAATAATACAAAGATGTATGTGTGGATAAAATAACTTTTCTGGTTACCTAGAATAAGTCTAAATTTGTCAAATTTATTAAGTAAACTGTCATATATGGTCTTAGAGATGAATTTAATTTTTGAACGACATATGTTATAAGTGTCCAGATATATTTTTCTGTTCAATTGCCATTAGCATAAACATAATTTTGATAGGCTATAATACGTTGTTTTATTTTTGCAACTCAGCAGCCGGAAAATGCGTTTTGATATTATTTGATACAATGTTAGTCGATTCCACTTTTGCAAAGGTTGCAAAAGATATAAATGTCTACCATTAATTGCCATTTTGTCTTCTTATCATCATTTTCGACGATTTTAATGAATAGTAATGTCCTGTCCATGTCAGCCATTCAATTCCATCGCCAAAGGAGATATGAGAACCAGATAAATAGTTGCCATTTAAATTAGACTGATGGCAAGAGTTATACCACCATGCGCCATGGAATCTAACTGCACACGCCTTGGAAGAAGGACTGTTGTCTCGGTCTTTGGTACTAAATACCATGCCGTTGTGGTAGTCTAAACTATCACCTGAAAATAAATCGACAATTTGTCAACCATGACTATTTGAATCGTGGTTCCAATCTGGTTTTATTGTGAAATGGATAACACAAAGACTAGTATTGATATTTTATAGAGAGTAGACAATTCCAATAAAAATTGTGTTAACATGCTCCTCTTTACGTTTCCTTATAGAATAGGACTATGGACAACGCTTGAAGCTTTATTAAACGAAGACGGAGATTGGATTTCTTTATATTGCAATTGTCTGATTCGTGCACCAGTGTACTTTCTATACATCTTCTTTCAATTTTATATTTTCCACTTTTCTCATATTTGAATAATTATTTATAACAGAGCGTATCGTTGTGATAATTTATCTGAATAAGTATTGTTTAAACTATATATCTTAACCTAATTATGTAATTGAATCGAAAAAGACATTTTTGTTATATCTTTTCCGTTGCCATTTAAATTTTCATCGTAATGTTAGTCTTTTATTTTTCTGGTTATTTCCATAGCAAGTCACTAATAATAAGCAATTGCATGTTCTTATATATTTCCTGATTTAAATCAAATCCAAAACTGTAAAAGCAAAGGGTGTATAAATACTTAAATATGGGAGGAGCGCTAAATAAACAAGGGGAGGTGTTGGTCTCGCTGAAAAGAATAGCCATTTCAACTGAAGTTATAATATTACTGAAAGAATTGGAAGCTTACATTCCTAATTATATCTAAAATGAATAATCTGAGAATCAAGTATAGTTATAATATAAATTATATCAGTACCAAGTCACTGACTATTGGGCTTACGATACCCTTAAGCATTAGTAATTCTCCAGAATCCGTGTGAAGATAGAACATGAATATAACAATTAACAATTTTGGTTCATCCAATGGGCTGTTGAGGATATATCTTCAATAAGAGTAAGATTTACAATAACTTAGAACTTATAAAACGGAGGCTCTTCAACATTTTTTTATTACAGTACGATAGAAGTCGAGGTGACCCTACTTTTTTCAAATTTTTATGAATCAAAGGATACGACACTATATACATATATTTAGGTACCGAAATGCACGTTTAAAGACGACTCTTATGACTGCAAGTGTTAGTCAATGTGAAAAAACTTTAAATCAACGATCCAGTTGTATCCGTCTAAAAAAATCACCATATTCTTCAAATAGCATTATAACAGATGTAAATTCAAAAAACGACAGCCTTTACTTTCACATGACAAAAACTGTGAAGAGATACACATACAACTATCAAACCGTCTTGAGATATTGTCAACAGGAGATATGTTTTCAATAATAATCAATCATCATCATAATCGTATAATATTACGATAGTCTGACATGATACAACTACAATATCGAAATTCGGCCACCTCTTTCTTCTTTTAGTCTTTGTCTATTTCCTTTACAATTGGAAAGCATGAGAAAGCAGTTTTATTCTGAAAATCATTTCACTTCAGTAAGGGAGGGAAAAAAAGATAATAATATATGCATATATATTGATATTTAGTACGTGGATAAATTCGATCTAAGTACGAGATTTTTTTAAGCACATTTCTCAAAAAATTTATATAATTCTTCATATTATTATCGAAAATAAAGGTGTTATGTACAAACACTAATGTCTCTGTAGCACTGTAGCTCAGTATCTTATGAAAATGTAAAACAAAATATAGTTTGTTGAAATAATTAATGAATTATTAAATTTCTTTTAATGAAAATCGGATCATCCAATCAGCTAGTATTGCTATTAAACTTTCTCAATACGAACCTGCGTTGCCACTGTAGCCATTTACTGACAATTGGAATTCAGACTGAGCATCCGATATCTTGAACGTTTGATATTCCGCATATCTCTTTTCATTCGCAAAATTTTCCAATTCGATTCGTAAGGTATAATTATTATTTGAAGTCAGCATGTGAATTTTCTCATTACCTAAAATTGAAAGTGTTTAAAACTATACGCGGTTAAGGAAAGAAAATAAGAAGTCCAAAATCTTTACATGTTTTCTGTTGGCATTGCTTGTGGTTGACCGCAATAATACATGACAATTAGCGTATCAGGAAAGACGTCCGTAAATCATCAAAGTCATACTATTTGTGTTACATGGCTAGAACACGCTTTGACCGCCTGTGTAATCCATGGTCGGGTAAAAAAGAAAACATTACAAACGGATTCTGATCTTGTTTGGCACACATTAATAAAAATTAAGTGTAAAGTTCGGTCGACAAGAAACAGAGCGGTTTAGTTAATATGGCTGCCTATAAGTTTGAAATTAATAACCACGCGTAATATTTAAACAACACCAATGCCAGGTCGACTTGGGAATAGAAATATTGTGACTTAGGACTTCTAACCACCTGTTAAATCCTATCTAAAGTGGGGCACCTGTTAGGTTGTTTGTAATGTACTAGTTAGCAGCCTTGTCCGGTAAGAATGGGGACAACTTTCGACAACCTATGAATTGCAGGCGTTATGTCAGCCCTAATTTGCATTTATTAATAATTCCTTATTAATCAGATTAAGATTTATTTTTATAGTGTAGACTTAATTGTCAAATAGTGCATTATAAATTTGTTGTACCTAACCAAAACTCATTTGTTAAGTCACCAAATCCGTTCTCGTACTCGAGCCATGTCCGGTAAAAATCTGTGATTCCATCCACACGCCTTTGGAAAACCTGTAAAATAGACATTCTAAATTATTTTTTTTTCTTACTCTGCATATTTTGACTCTGAAAAAGGCAAATTATTGATGAGTCAATAAATAATAAAAATAATTATTCTTTGATTCTCATCCCACGTCTCATTTTTTTCAGATGTTATGAATAATTTATTCAGATTTTTAGCCTTTTTCTTTCATTTGAAAGGTGAATTTGAGTATAAATATGGCCACACTTGATCTTCTTCTAACCGGCAGTTGAACCCTCAAACGTCTGTTTTGGCTGTGTGTCATGTATGAATATGCAGCTTTGGTAAGTTTTTGTTTCTAAGGATATTTTTTGGCATTCAAATTTAATGTTCAATCAAATCAGGTCAAAAGAGGCTTACATGTTAGATGAATATTTAATAGAGATCATTATTTATTTGTTTTATCTAAACGAACAAAATGAATTATAGCATTCTAAAAGTTCTATAAGTATTTTCATTTTCACAAACATACACAGTGTGGTAAACGGATTCTTGTTCCTATTGTAAATTTTATTTCAAAATCGATGGTTATTTAGTATAAAATGTTTGTTCTATAATTCAGTTGTTTAACTTAAATGTGGGAGGGCAATCAATGTTTACGTTTACAAGTTTTGCATTATCAACGGAATCACGTGGCGTATAAAAGCGACTTGCGAAGTTGGTCCAAGAACAGCCTTACTAAACCAGGTATCGACATCAATCCACACTGTTGGATTACTTATGACTAATACTTTGCTATTTTGAAACCATGGTCGCACTTATAAAGATCAACCCTAACTCTCAATACTTATTCTGATGAATACTATGTTTCTTTTGAATATGTTTTGTTCCTAATGTACATAATAGTACAAAACTCATTAAAAATGCTCATCTTCCTAAGTTTATTCTCACGTTGTATTGTTACTCAACCAATAATAGTTTAGGCTTTTCTACCTCAGGAATAGATTACCTTAGCTTTATTTGGCAAAACTTTTAGGAATTTTTGGTCCTCAATGCTCCTCAACTTCGTACTTATTTTGCCTTTTTAACTTTTTTTTTATTCGAGCGTCACTGATGAGTCTTTTGTAGACGAAACGCGCGTCTGGCGCAAAAACTAAATTTTAATCCTGGTTACTGAGTTTATTTACAACCACTGGGTCGATGCCACTGCTGGTGGAGTTTTTATTCCCCGAGGGTACCACCAGCCCAGTAGTCAGTACATCTGTGTTGACATGAATAATCATTGATATGGTCATAATTATAAATTTATAAAACTTTGAGTTTTGAAATACTAAGGCTTTCTACCTCACATGCCTCAGGAATAGATTGCCTTAGCTGTATTTGGCAACACTTTTATGAATATTTGGTCCTCAATGCCTTCGTACTTATTTTGCCTTTTTAACTTTTTTTATTCGAGCGTCACTGATCAGTCTTTTGTAGACGAAACGCGCGTCTGGCTCAAATACTAAATTTAATCCTAGTATCTGTGTTGAGTTCATTTGGAGATGACTGAGAGCTAACAATCATGTTTACTCCGGTACGTAATCGATGCGTCTGTCAGAAGTTAGAAGTCTGTAGTCCTGTTTTTGGTCTCTAGTTTCTGTTTCATTCCTATCGTACTACATGTCCTTTTTTTGGATCGAATTTATTTTATAAAACAATAATATATATAATATATATAAATTAATCAAAGACTCAAATGGCCAGTTTGTTTAAATGTTCTTTTAAAATTGAGAATAGTTTAGATTGAACATTTAAAAATCTTTTAAAATGTGGAACAGGACGAAATTCCTTAAACAACTCGATAATGGTCCATAACCTCAACAGATTTACAAACTTTCTATGGCTTCTAAAATATTTGTTCGAAACACACATTATCCACATATTTTGTAAATTTTGAAAAATAGAAGTACGTTACGTTGTCTGGTACAATTCGTAAGGGGTTCCGCAGAACCCTGTTTTTCGCTTACGATTGATGCTGTCAGTGTTAAAGTATAATGTTGACTTAAATTTGACCGGATTTGTAATAACATAAGCAACTCGACGGGTGCCACATGTGGAGCAGGATCTGCTTACCCTTCCGGAGCACCTGAGATCACCCCCAGTTTTTGGTGGGGTTCGTGTTGCTTAGTCTTTGGTTTTCTATGTTGTGTCATCTGTGCTATTATTTGTCTGTTTGTCTTTATTTTTGGCCATGGCGTTGTCAGTTTGTTTCGATCTATGAGTTTGACTGTCGTTCTGGTATCTTTCGTCCCTCTTTTAGCAAACATGAAAGACAAGTAAACAAAAATGATCAAAAAAGAATAACAAAATAATGGGATGTATAAGTACAGAGTCTCGTCAAATGAGTATCAACAAAAACAGACTAAACAGTAAAAGTAATATTCATATAGACAAATAAATGAATATCATAACACGTCATTTGTATAATGAACAACGTCAGTACCTATAATCTACACTTCTAGACCATCATGTATTATTTGTGAAGATGATAAGGACTATTTACCAACAAGGTCTTGGTACCTTCCGATTAACTTTTTTTCAGAAAAAGTCGTTCTTTGGCTTATCCCTGATTCATCAACTTTCTGCTCAGACACGGGTGATGTTTTACAAAGTATAAAAAAGAGCTACAAGCTCTTGAATACCGAATAAGTTGGGAAATGTATATCCCATATGCAGGTGAAGTTTGTATATTGCTACTAAGGTGCGGGAAATTGATAATTTCAAAATTAAAATCGTCTAGTTTAGCTAAAATGATTAACAAGATTACAAAAATGATTTCAATAAGCAAAATGACAAATATACATAAATTAACAAAGGACTACCAGCAGTTACTGACATGCTAGCTCCATGCCTCAATTTAATTAATCTGAAGTTTATGTCCTCGTCATGATTATAAAAATCAAGCACAGTCCCTCCCGTTAGAGGTTTAGTGTTCTACCAACAGAAAATATACAAGAAGAACATAACCCGCATAATGGCAATAGTTGGTTTTAGAAAAAAATGTGTTTATTTCTGAAGCAAACACCCTTCCACTCTCAATTTTACCTTATAAGTGAATCAAAATTAATATTTAAAAAATGCCATATTTACTGAACAGACATGGTATGCAGTAAAATTGGAACCGTTTACGTAATTCAATTCAACAACGTGTTAAAAACATTATGGCAATTTATTTACAAATATACCTACCAGTTTGTCTGATCATGACCAATGATCCTTCAAACGGAACTTTTGGCAAATTACAGCTACCTAAAGTATCCAGATAGCATTCCCTTGAATTACTGATATAAGATACAGCGCAACAGTCAGATGTGGTCAAACAAACTGAGCCACATGCTTGTGTAGATCTCACTTCATTTATCAGTTTTGAATCATTATTTGTAATTTTGTAATCAGTATAAAAAGAAAAAGTTTCCTGGCAAAAGTCCAGGGTTTCTATTTTTTGAACAAATACAACAATAAAAAAAATAAGAAAGTATCGTTTCATTAGTTCGTCGTTGATAATCATATCATAAACACTTGAAACAAAAGTTAAATAGTTTTACTTGTTAAATCCCCATATTTTTTTCTGTTTCAGTTAAAACCGTGAATATTTGTTGCTTTGAAAGCCAATCGAAGACATGGCAGTCTGTACCTGGCATTTATGAAATAAAAGTATTTACAAGCCCTTTTGTAATTAGCCAGCCTATCGACTGCATTGTGTGAATATTTGGTGACTACTTTAACTTCAGTTAAATCTGTATTAAATGACAATGATGCCCTTTTTGTTAAAAGATATGAACATCATTGAGAAATTAAAAGATAAATACTGATTTAAATGTCGGAATGAAATCGATATAATTGTTTCAAGAGTGATATTTTTCTTTGATCTGCAAGGGGGTTAATCATGTGAACGTATTATTATATATTTCTGTAGATACAACACTTTTTTGTTATTTTTAAAACAAAGAGAAATATAATCCTATATACAAATATATGGCAAATAAAGGCGACAGTAGTATACAACTGTTCAATAGTCAGCAATCGATTAAGCGACAGTTTCATTGATTCTTTTTGTCATTTTTACGGGACGTACTTTGGTATACCTTTGTCCGTCGGTCCGTCTATCGCCTGTTTGTTACTCGGATTTTCTGGCTAAAGCGATTTATGAATATTGAACAGCGGTATACTACTGTTGCCTTTATTAAACCACTTTGCATGAAACTTTGGTGAATTGTTTAAATCTATTGACGAGGGAGCTATAATTTTAGATTCAAAGTTTCTTAGTTATGATTTTATGCATTAAAAAAGGGTGATTTTTCCGTTTTTGGGCAATAACTCGCAAGTGTTTTAAGCAGTTTTCATGAAACTTTGGTGACTGGTTTATATCTATCAAAATAAGCTCCCTTAATTTAGGTTTTTTATTAATTTCTGATATGAAATGTAGAAAAAATGAAACTGTATGTTTTGAAAAAGCAAAGGACGTATAATGCGCTCATGGCGCATCTCTTTATTTATAATGAATCGTAGCTGTTGACTTTTAATTGGTAAATCCGGTATTTCGCTTTCTTAATTTTAAAACACTACCTTTTATTCAACAGATAAAATTGAGAATGGATCCGAAATGGGGAATATGTCAAAGAGACAACAACCCGACCAAAGAGCAGACAACAGCCGAAGGCCACCAGTGGGTCTTCAACGCAGAGAGAAAATCCCGCAACCGGAGGTGGTCCTCAGGTGGCCCCTAAATAAAATTGTGTACTAGTTCAGTGAAAATGGACGTCACATTAAACTCCAAATCATAAAAATTAACTAAAATTAAAAAATATACAATACTAACAAAGGCCAGCGGCTCCTGGCTTGGGACAGGCGCAAAATTGCGTCGGGTTAAACATGTTTTGTGAGATCTCAACCCTCCCCCTTTACCTCTAGCCAATGAAGAAGACAGAAACACATAGCAATACGCACAGTAAAATTCAGTTAAAAAGAAGTCCGAGTCCGAAGGTAGAATAAGGAACAAAAGAAATTAAGCAAAATGACAATG